GGTTGAGCGCTACGAGAATCGCGCATGTGGAGTAAGGTGTGGCGATCCTTTTTGCAAATTTTGCACTTGGCTCCACTGCGAAATGACTCCTCTAAGTGCTGATGAGACAGTCAGTTAGAACTGCGCTGGCACTTGCGTAGCGAATGGATGCCTCTACACACCCGGCATCTAAAGGAGTCTATTCCTTGTCGTTGGTTGGATCCCTTCGTTGACGGTGCCATGCTGGTTCTCTACAGAGGAGTGAACTGGAGAATAAGATGTAGGAGAGGTGTTATTATGTGATGGTTTATTTTTTGAAAGAGGGATTAGTGTCTTTAAGGATTAGTCGGTGGTGTTATTATGCTCAGTAGGAAGAAGGACCAATTTGGCTATTGGCCTTCAGAGACCCCACGAGTGGTAAGCATGTTCATTACGCGGGCCTTGTCATCTGTGCCTGGGCAAGCCAGCTGAACTCGGTCAAGGTGCCATTCATTTATTGGTAGGTTATCTTCCTTCATAAACACCATATCACCGACTTGGAGGTCCCTTGTAGGGGACTGCCCTTTGTTTCGCTTATTGAGCTCTCTTAAATACTCGTGATTCCACCGAAAGCAGAATTGCTGGTGGAGTGCTTTGAGTCCGTGCCAGCGGTTAATTATAGGAATAGCGTCTTCTTTGATTACTGGCTCGTTAATTGAGAGAAGAGGGCCGCCAACTAGGAGGTGCCCTGGACTTAGAGCCAATAAATCAGTCGGATCTTCCGACAGTGGAGAGATTGGCCTGGAGTTAAGACTTCAATTTTGGAGAGGAGAGTCGCGAACTCCTCAAATGTATATTTCGAGGATGAGGTGGATTTGTAGAAGTAGGTCTTAAAGCTTTTGACACCCGCTGCCCTCAATCCGCCCATGTGAGGAGCGCCAGGAGGATTGAAATGCCAACACAAGTTTTGATAGCTGTGCTTGGATAAGATGAGCTCCTTGGTCGCTTGCAAGAAATCTCTCGAAAGAAGCGATGAGGCTTCCACAAATGTTTTCCCATTATCTGAGGACATCTGTTGGGGAAGCCCACGTCTCGCGAAAATGCGGCCAGGAATCTCTCTGTCGTAAGACCTGTGGTGGCTTTTAAATGGATTGCTTCCGTGCTGAAGCAAACGAAGAACAGACATAACCCTTGGTAATTTTGCATGCTCGACCAATGTTAATATCGAAAGGTCCGGCAAAGTCTACACCCGTGTGTGTGAAGGGTCGGAAAAAGGTTGATCTCGCCCCTGGGAGCTCGCCCATAAGTTGGGTCTGGAGTGGTCGACGGTGTATTACACAGACCTTGAGTTTACGGTAGATTTTACCAGGACCTTGAGCCTTGGGATCCAGTCTCTCTTTGGGATACAGTCTCTTATGAGGCGCATTACGAACTGATTGCCTCCGTGAAAACAAATGAGGTGGGTAAATCGGACCAGGAGGCGTGAAAAATCACAATTGGCCGGAATGATTATGGGGTGTCGCTCATCATAGTCTAACGAGGTTGACGCTCTCACCCTTCCACAGGATCGCAGAATACCCCTTTGATCGATGAAAGGGTTGAAACTGCGAGTGCTGCGTGATCCTTGAATTCGCGTCTTATCGAGCAAATAGCTAAGCTAAGGATAAGCTTGGCGTTGGGTATACTCGATAAGTAGGAACTGAACTATCGTAAGTTCTTCATTACGAAGCTCGGCGGGGAGGTGGACTGCTGGATTTCTACAGCGCTGGATAAAGCGACAAACATATGCGATAACTCGCAATGCCTTGTCGAATCTGGAGAATCGTTCCAGAAGGTTATAGGAGGGTAGCTGTGAGACATTGCACTTCGCTGCGCGTTGTTCAATATCTGTCTCAAGCACCGTAACAGGAACTGGCCATTGGTTTTGGTAGTAGTAGTAGTTGTAACCATTCCGGTCCATGCCATCACAAAGTGCTGCCCAAAAGGTCCCGAGGAGAACCCCCCGAACATGGGACCATTTGCCATTGGTTGATGTTATCTTGGCTACCCGGTTGGCTACAAAGGTACACCATTTGCATGGAGGCTTATCTTACCAGGCAAACAATAGAGGATTCTGTCCAATTGAAATTTTCTCTACTCTGGATGGAGAGGTGAGGAATAAAAGCCGTGGTGAGCTCGGAAAGAAGGACGGCGCCACACAGCTTTAAGCGTGGTAGTAATACCGTCTTAACTGGCGCGACTCTCATTTTTTCAGCATTGAGATGAGTGCAGATGCGGTTTATCGGTTTATCTCTACGCGCAAATAAAGTGCAGCGCCATATGCGCGCTGGGACGCGTCGCGGAAGCCATGAAACTGCACTTTTGCCTTTTGCTGAAAATCGACCCATCTTGGGATACGGATCTCTTCGAGAGACGGATAGTCGGTTAGAAAGTCATGCCAACGTTAAACGAGATCTTCCGGCAGGGAATCATCCCATCCCAGTTGTTGGAGCCAGATCTCTTGCATGAAAATCTTTGCTCGAACTATCCTAGGTGCTAGCCATCCAACAGGATCGAACAATTTCGCAATCTGCGATAGTACTTCAGGCTTAGTGAGCGGAGGCTGAGATGCTATTTTGGACGGAGCAAAGAAAAACTGGTCTATTGTGGCTTGCCATCGAATGCCTAGCGTTTTAGCGACGCTGGGCTCTTTGATTTCTAAGAAATCCGCACACAGTAAGTGGTCCCTTGGTATTCCTTTTAACACTTCCTTTGTGTTGGTTATCCACTTTCTCTGAGGGAACCCGGCTCTGTCGAGGGCCATGCGGATTTCTGCAATAGCTGAAATCGCTTGTTGCTTCGTGTGTGCCCCTTCATCTGCGTAGAGATGCGGCGGCCTTCAAGCTGAGCGAGCAGCAGTAGCAGGCGCACATAATCTAACCATGAGGTTGGGTTCGCTTACATTTAAATGCACACGTGAAACGAGAGAGTGAACCAAACATTTCACCAAGCTCTGCGCGATGTAGTTCATCCAGCTTTGTGGCATCTACGGTAAACAATGGACAATCGAAGCTCTCGCTATTGGCCGGAACAGGACAGAAATGTGTCTGTTAAGAGGTTAAATCACACACAGACACTCACACTCATATCCAAACACACACAATTAGCACAGACAGGAGTCTGTACAAAATAACACTTTTGCGCTACGCGCTGTCAAATTGCAAAAAGGAGCAAAGGCGCATTTAACAAAAACGAAAAAGTAAATCACAAGCAAAATTTATACATCGTGTACAGCAAAATCAAGAACTTTAAAAAAAGAAAAGAAAAAATCAATTTTGCCTGATATCGATTGTACAATTTTAGTTATTTTATTTAATTTTCGCTCCTGAATGCACGCTTCATGCTCTTTACTCTTGCGTTAAGTTTAGTTTCGATTAAGCGCTCGCATGTTGATGCCAGTCGCAAGAAGGTGCAAAGGAAACGGTCGGAAACTCGCTTTCTTTCAATAATAAAACAAGCGTTGAGCTTCCTTTGGAAATGGGGGTGGATACTGGTGACGAATCGAACGTGTACGAGGGGTTGTTGCCTACAACAGGATGAGCGCCACCACACAGGCGTTTTGCGTGCGATGGAACAGCCATTTGGGTAGCATTGGTGCACCCTTTCCACAGCTGTTGGCCGGTCAGAGATTTGTGGATGTGACAGTAGCCTGTGAGGGGCATCAGGTGCATTGCCATCGCCTGGTGTTGGCGTGCGATGGAACAGCCATTTGGCAGCATTGGTGCAGCCTTTCCACAGCTGTTGGAGTAAGTTATCGATTATTGGAAATAAACTCGATCTGCGCGGGAACTAGGAGCACCTACATCTAAAATTTTAAGTCTCTAGCTCTTATAGGTTCTGAGATCCTTACGTTCATACATACAGATGAACGGACGGACGGACGGACAGACAGACGGACATCACTAGATCGACTCGTCTATTGATGCTGATCAAGAATATATATACTTTATGGGGCCGGAGATGCTTCCTTCTGCATGTTACATACATTTGGATTTCGCACAAATACAATATACCCTTATACCCAATTTTAATGGGTTCAGGGTATAAAAACTGTGTGATTAGTAAAATCTTAAATTGCTTATTTAAAGTTACTGCTTCCCTTCGTTGATATATGTATCTGTAGGAGTAGGGAAAGTTCCAGAAGAGCAAGTAGCCGAACGACGATAACAATAGAGAGACTGACGGTTACAAGATAGAGCAAACGGTCAGAGCGTTCGCTCTGATAGAAAACCCGATCAGAGAGTTAGTCGATGTGGAAATCTCTTAGGGTACGCAAGCATTGGTGACTCGTTAAAGTCTAATAAAATTACCCATAAATTACATATTGTATTAATAGCATTATGAGCTATAATTATCAAAATAATATAAATAAACATTAAAATAATACAACGTCGTCTCAAAGTTATTCACCACGGAAAAAATGGAGACCACGTTTTTGGGGGCTTAACCGAGATTTTTGAATTGGTTAATACCGGTGCTGTAGTAGACTTGCTCTGCTGTGAACTTTTGCGATTTTCAAAGCTGAAAAGTAAAACAGAAAGAGATTAAAGCTTGGTGAAATTCTAGGGATTAAAAGTTGCCTAGATTTCCCAAATTCAGCAGAAGCAGAACAACATCAAGAGTGTAATGGCGCTTGTTAACAAAAATTAGTTGACTATTTTTTTTGTGTGCCCAAAAGTAGGCAATGGAATTTTCGTTAATGCAGTTGTGACTAACAATTGGTTTGACACTTAATAAGTAGTAGATTTCCTTTAGTTTTAGTAGTATTTTTGTTAATTATTGTAGTTTGCCTACCTACGCAGAAAATGACAACAAAAATAAAATATATATATATAAAATAATATAATATATATAATAATATATATATATAGTTATATTTATTTAAAATGTTAGGTGAATAATAAAACTAATCGATTACACTTGGAAATTGCACACTTGTGTTCGATCTACAAGAAAAATGCGTGTCTGCGAATTTTTGTCACGGTGAGGTTAGATGACACTTCCGCAAGCCAGACTTGACCTTTCTACCAGTGATTGTCAACCAGAGCAGTCGCATTTAATAATTTTGCGTAAAGCATAGCCTAATCTGCAAGCACGTTTTTGTATTATATTTTTTTTGCTAAATTTAAAAATACAAGGCTGTAAGTTTAAATACTACGGAAAAGAAATTCATGCTTAATGGCATTGGTCCACAGAACTCCCATTGGCTTGAGTCCATGCAGGCAGCTAGCAATTGGTACATAGCTGACCGAAGTTTTAAAAAAAACAAAGCCCTCAGTCGGACGGAACAACCTTTCCATGTTTTAATTTTGGTGCCAATCCCAAAAGGGTAAATATTTCTTTCCTCTTGCGGACCAGCCGCTCATTGCTTTTGCGCTGTGTACTTTTTTTCTAATTATCATTTTCTGGTGTACACAGATTGGCACTTATACAGAAACTCCTAAGCTAAGTTTCACTCTCTGAAAAAAATCGAGCAGAAGCGGAATTACGGACACAGGGAGCATGGCAGATCATCGCCACCTGACACAGTAGTGTTCGGCATGTGTTAAACAAGCACGGATCGACGCACACAAAAAAAAAAAACGAAACGACAAAAATGTTATAAGTTAGCAAACGCAAGTGCCGCCGTTTGTAATAGTCCGAGCCATAACTTACAGTGAAAAATATTTTTGATTTACCAAGTTTGCTATGCTCGAATAATTTAATTGAATAAGTTATAATAGTTAATTACCGAGCGGCCAACCTGGCGATTAAGAAGTTATATTTTTTTTTTTGTTTTGGTTTTGATAATATTCCCTTTTATTTTTTTTATTGTATTTTTTTTTTTGCGTTGGGTATAATGTGTTAAAGCGAAAAGTTGCCGAGTTAACAATAAGTGAAAAGCAAAGTGATTTTTGTCGGCAAATGAAAATTTTAAAACTTTAATTCATCTAAAACAATGCGTCAGAAAAATAAACCCTGCCTTTAAACATATTCATAAATACCACTCGTATGGACACCGCCGAAAGTACTTTCGTCGCTGGATCTTTTTAATGGTAAGCTGGAGCACCCCATTATAATTTACAATTGTTCTGTTTACCAAGGGTATTGCTTCGCCGTTTCACCAGCCAAAATAAGTTTTGTTTTCAACAGCTAAATGTGCATGCGTACGACAATTTTAAACAGTTGTTGTTGCATTGATCAGTCGCAGTCCGGTAAATTTATTAAACAGCTAAAATGGCCTTTAGTCGCATAATATAATCTGCATGGCTTAATCCTACTTTTATTATAACGATACATATTTCTGTTTTTGACATATTTGCATATATAATATATACATATTAACCCTTACTGTTTTTAGCAACTTTTCGCTTCGGTATAGTAATAAAATAAATCAACTAGTTTTTGGCCTAGAGTAAGCAAAAGATATGTAAAATTTGGTTAGTGGTAGGGAAGCAACTTTAAAGTAAAATTATATGTTGTAATATCATTTGGAATGTTAAGGAATAAACACAACTTAAATGAAAGATCTAATTGACATAAATAAAGAAGTTACCATAAATTCTACCTAAGACCCTTTCCCATTCCGGGATTTATGAAAAGCAGACTTCAGTCAATGTAAACAATATCAAGGATGTACAAGGGATCGTCTCAAACATGTCTTGGCCTTTGGACGATCATGGTAGGGTGGGCATACGCTGCTTCCAACTACACTATACATTCATAAATAAGTGCAGACCTACTTTTCTTTTTCTTTTCTTTTCTTTGTCTATGATGTCGTTCCAACCGATTGATAGGCGACCTGTTCCCCCAAAACAACACGCGAAATTTTAATAAATAATAATTTGCAAACGAGCATTTGACATCTCGGAATTTTTTTCTGAACCCCCCCATCGCCGACGAGATTGAGCCGGAAAACTAGCGCGTGCTCCGTAAGGTGTCTATACTTCTATCAGCTCGACTCTGCAACTATCCTACGTTGTATGTTATATGAGGCACGATAAATCGATTCAAAAGGCTACGAAGCAAATTATCGAAGTGAGGCGAATATTGTTAACGAAAGAGTCACGACGACTTGTGGGTATACAAACAACGTAAGCAATAGGCTGGTGCGCTCGTGCTGTAGAGCAAGGAAAGGCGTGTATCGAAGTCGAAAGAAGAGCGTTCGCTGGTGTTGTGCTAAGATTCAGAAGAAGAAACGACGAGAGCAGAAACTAAAAGTTACTCGTGGCTGCGAAATGAACGAGTGAATTCAACACAAGCAGCTGTCGTCAATATCTATGGGTCAAGTAAGAAGAGAAGAGCGGAATTTTGTATTGGTGTTCGTGAGTAGCAATAAAAGAAAACGAATACCAAAAGCAAAACGAAAATAATTCGTGAGTTTCGCGATATCGCCGAAACAAAGTTAAGGAGACAACCGAAAATTAATTTTGTATTTGCTATTGACCTACTGTTAAGTAACATTTTTATTTTATGTTGAGGATATTTTTAAAGTTACCAGCAATAAGTTTTGAACAAAAGCTTAAACGCATTTAATTTAATTCTCATATACTTATTTTTAATTAATTTACATTAAATAATATAGTTGTAAAATGAGTAGAGACGCGATTTTGGTAGAAAAGTGGAATTGCAAAGTAGTCTGCTTGCTCACTATGGATTTCCGGTTAATTATGATCAGGATAACAGTGCTGATGGAGATGAGGGTTCATTTACAACGGTAAGCAATAATGTATCGCGCAGGGTAGAAATCCTTATGATGTGGGTCAGAACCGTCGAGGTCATGGTTCACGTTGAAGGATGTCGAGGGTAGTGTGACACAATTCTCTGGGTCGAACAACCAAGTCATAAATCAGTGGATTAAAGAACTTGAGGAACGTGCACTTGAGGTAGAGTGGAGCCAGTTGCAGTTGTTCATTTATGCAGAGCAGTTAGTCGTTGGTGTGGCGAAATTATTTGTACCCAGCCAACGAGATATTCTCGATTGGTGTACGTTGAAAGTTGCATTGTACGATGAGTAGGCTTAGCAGGCGTCAGCAGAAGAAGGGCGAAACACTGCATGAATATTTTCATGCACAGATGGAGATAGCGAAGCCAATAGATTTGGAAGATGAATGATTAATTGAATATTTCATAGATGGTATACCGGATACCAGAGCAACTAGAGCTTTAGTCTAATAAGCTAGAAATATGAGGCAGATGAAGATTGAAGGGTACCAAGAGATGCGAGGGTCGTTAAAGCTGGATGATAAAAATAACTCGCAGATCGGCAAAAATGAGACTGTCGCAGGAAAAATGTCGGAGCCAGTAAGGAAATCTTTCAAGTGTGGTAATCTATCAATTTACGCAAACTGAATTCAAGTGTTTTCGTTGCAATCAACCAGTGCATAGAGCCGCACAGTGCAAAATGGACGGGCATCTAAAGCAAGATAAAGGAATAAATATTGTTCAGGATGAGAGAAAAATAAAGCCAGCAAGCTTGTTTACACCTTACCAACCAGTGCATAGAGCAGCTCAGTGCAAAATGCAAAACGCCAGCAAGCTTGTTTACCCCTCACGGGCTAGAGCTGAAGTGTGTTGCTCATTCAAATGTAATTTTTAAAGGACTTGTGGATACAGGAGCAGATTTGTGTTTTCTGCGCCGAAATGTTTTAGCAAAGGATTTGGAATTTTTGACAGGCATTGGCGGAAGTAGTACCATTTAGAAATTTGTAAATGTCATTTCCTATGAAGGCATGGCATTTGACGATCTTTTGGGCAGAACGATTCTGGAAACTATCGATATGAAAGTGACCAAGCATGGAACAGAGTTTGTACGCAGATTGGTCAGCAAAAGTGAATACAGGAATTAAAGCTATGGTAATCAGAAAGCTCAGGGCTCATGCGCCGATTTAATTAATGCATTCAAAAGCCAATGTATGCTGAGCTAAGAGCAAAGTGAGGCAGGTGACACAGTCACAGTCAAATAGAGTGAGAAGGATGATAAATGGGTATAGTCTGAAGAAAAGTGTCACTTGTCCCGTAGAAATGAAGATAGTTTTAACGGAATGAGATACCAGTTCACCAGCATCCGAGGCGCTTAACGTTCAGTGAGCAGAAAGATGCATACGATTAAGATCAATAGTGGCTTGCGGATTGCGGATATCCAAATATGCTTAACCCATTTTTCTGGTAGCAAAAAAAAAAAAAAACGGTAAAAGCGGCAATGTTGTCATTCTCGCAGGTTGAATGAAAAGATAGTGCGCGATAGCTTTTCGATTAGGCAAATGGACAGTGTTATTGACAAGTTGCAGGGAGCACTGATTTTTACTACATTGGATTTGACGAATGGATACTTTCAACTACCAATCGAGGTACAGTCACAGAAATATACATCTTTTGTAATGCAGAAAGTGCAGTATGCGTTTTTTGTACCATTTGGTATCTCAAACTCATCTGGAGTGTGAACTTACGATAATGGTAATGAATCGTAAACATGGATGATATTGTCATTTCAAGCATTATTGTTGAGGAAGGCTTACAAAAGTTGCAGAGAGTTTTTGATGTGGCAGCGAGAAACGGTTTGCGTATAAATTGGAGCCAGTGTCAGGTTTTACAGAAGAAGGTACATTTTGGAAAACGGTACTATTAAACCAAGTGAGGGGAAATCGCAGGCGGTATCAAATTTCCCAATACCCGTCGATAAAAATGGTGTTCAACGTTTTCTTGGCATGACACATGTGCCAGAGAGTATCCATCCAAACTTAGAATTTGGAGCCATCGGCAGACCGCCTTGGCTCGGGAGGATATTTTGTAGGATGATGTCTGGGTATACGTCGGCGCCGAGTACCAAAGGTACTGGAGATGGGCGGAAAGAGTCGTTGTCCGCCAAAACGACATTGCTGAACGGGTGCTTCATGTCCGCTCTGATAGCTCGGGCTGGAGCAATTGATGCAATTGAGTTGCGGGTCATCCATCAAGACCACCTCTCGAGACATCTGAGTTGTCTTGGTGCGTAGCACGGCTGTGCACACTCCTTCTGCGCCAATGCATGTGACGGAAAGGCCATAGGCCTTTGCCACGGTTGCATTAATGCGGCTTACTGAACAACATTGATCGATTAGGGCCCGAGTCTCAAGTGTCTTTTTTCCGGTTTCGAGGAGCACTATGGCGGTGGGCAGTATCCTGACCCCCTTGTGCTGGAGATGGGTCGTAAGCGACGTCCGTATAGTAGAACGTCTCGGGCTTGGGGGTGATGTGCCGCTAGAGGGCGAGGAGCCAGAAGCTCTTCTTGAGGGCCTATTGGCTGACCGAGAGGGTTGAGGATCGCGCATGTGGAGTAAGATGTGGCGATCCCTTTTGCAAATTTTGCACTTGGCTCCACTGCGACATGACTCCTCTAAGTGCTGATGAGACAGTCGGTTGGAACTGCGCTGGCACTTGCGTAGCACATGGATGCCTTTCCACACCCAGCTTCTACAGGAGTCCGTTCCTTGGCGTTGGTTGGATTTCTTCGTCGACGGTGCCATGCTGGTTCTCTACACAGGAGTGAACTGGAGAATAAGATGTAGGAGAGGTGTTATTATGTGATGGTTTTTTTTTGGAAGAGGGATTAGTTGCTTTAAGGATTAGTCGGTGGTGTTATTATGCTCAGTAGGAAGAAGGACCAATTTGGCTATTGGCCCTCGGAGACCCCACGAGCGGTAAGCATGTCCATTACGCGGGCCTTGTCATCTGTGCCTGGGCAAGCCAGCTGAACTCGGCCAAGGCGCCATTCATTTATTGGTAGGTTATCTTCCTTCATAATCACACAAGTTTTGATGGCTGTGCTTGGATAAGATGAGCTCCTTGGTCGCTTGCAAGAAATCTCTCGAAAGAAGCCATGAGGCTCCCACAAATGTTTTCCCATTATCTGAGGACATCTGTTGGGGAAGCCCACGTCTCGCGAAAATGCGGCCAGGAATCTCTCTGGTGTAAGGCCTGTGGTGGCTTATAAATGGATTGCTTCCGTGCTGAAACAAACGAAGAACAGACATAACCCATGGTAATTTTGCATGCAAAGGTCCGGCAAAGTCTACACCCGTGTGTGTGAAGGGTCGGAAAAAGGTTGATCTCGCCCCTGGGAGCTCGCCCATAAGTTGGGTCTGGAGTGGTCGACGGTGTATTACACAGACCTTGAGTTTACGGTAGATTTTACCAGGACCTTGAGCTTTGGGATCCAGTCTCTCTTTGGGATCCAGTCTCTTATGAGGCGCATTACGAACTGATTGCCTCCGTGAAAACAAATGAGGTGGGTAAATCGGACCAGAAGGCGTGAAAAATCACAATTGGCCGGAATGATTATGGGGTATCGCTCATCATAGCCTAACGAGGTTGACGCTCTCACCCGTCCACAGGATCGCAGAATACCCCTTTGATCGATGAAAGGGTTGAAACTGCGAGTGGTGCTTGATCCTTGAATTCGCTTCTTATCGAGCAAACAGCTAAGCTAAGGATAAGCTTGGCGTTGAGTATACTCGATAAGTAGGAACTGAACTCTCGTAAGTTTTTCATTACGAAGCTCGGCGGGGAGGTGGACTGCTGGATTTCTACAGCGCTGGATAAAGCGACGAACATATGCGATAACTCGCAATGCCTTATCGAATCTAGAGAATCGTTCCAGAAGGTTATAGGAGGGTAGCTGTGAGACATTGCACTTCGCTGCGCGTTGTTCAATATCTGTGTCAAGCACCGTAACAGGAACTGGCCATTGGTTTTGGTAGTAGTAGTAGTTGTAACCATTCCGGTCCATGCCATCACAAAGTGCTGCCCAAAAGGTCCCGAGGAGAACCCCCCGAACATGGGACCATTTGCCATTGGTTGATGTTATCTTGGCTACCCGGTTGGCTACAAAGGTACACCATTTGCATGGAGGTTTATCGAACCAGAAAACAATTGTGGATTCTGTCCAATTGAAATTTTCTCTACTCTGGATGGAGAGCTGAGGAATAAGAGCAGTGGTGAGCTCGGAAAGAAGAACGGCGCCACACAGCTTTAAGCGTGGTAGTAATACCGTCTTAACTGGCGCGACTCTCATTTTTTCTGCATTGAGATGAGTGGAGATGTATCCGTTTATCTCTACGCGCAAATAAAGTGAAGCACCATATGCGCGCTGGGACGCGTCGCGGAAGCCATGAAACTGCACTTTTGCCTTTTGCTGAAAATCGACCCATCTTGGGATACGGATCTCTTCGAGAGACGGACAGTCGGTTAGAAAATCATGCCAACGTTAAACGAGATCTTCCGGCAGGGAATTATCCCACCCCAGTTGTTGGAGCCAGATCTCTTGCATGAACATCTTTGCTCGAACTATCCTAGGTGCTAGCCATCCAGCAGGATCGAACAATTTCGCAATCTGCGATAGTACTTCAGGCTTAGTGAGCGGAGGCTGAGGTACCTTTTTTGGAGCAAAGAAAAACTGGACTGTTGTGGCTTGCCATCGAATGCCTAGCGTTTTAGCGACGCTGGGCTCTTTAATTTCTAAGAAATCCGCACACAGTAAGTCCCTTGGTATTCCTTTTAACACTTCCTTTGTGTTGGTTATCCACTTTCTTTGAGGGAACCCGGCTCTGTCGAGTGCCATGCGGAGTTCTGCAATAGCTGAAATCGGTTGTTGATTCGTGTGTGCCCCTTCATCTGCGTAGAGATGCGGCGGCCTTCAAGCGAACAGCAGTAGCAGGCGCACATAATCTAACCATGAGGTTGGCTTCGCTTACATTTAAATGCACACGTGAAACGAGAGAGTGAACCAAACATTTCACCAAGCTCTGCGCGATGCAGTTCATCCAGCTTTGTGGCATCTACGGTAAACAATGGACAATCGAAGCTCTCGCTAATGGCCGAAACAGGACAGAAATGTGTCTGTTAAGAGGTTAAATCACACACAGACACTCACACTCATATCCAAACACACACAATTAGCACAGACAGGAGTCTGTACAAAATAACACTTTTGCGCAACGCGCTGTCAAATTGCAAAAAGGAGCAAAGGCGCATTTAACAAAAACGAAAAACTAAAATCACAAGCAAAATTTATACATCGTGTACAGCAAAATCAAGAACTTTAAAAAAAGAAAAGAAAAAATCAATTTTGCTTGATATCGATTGTACAATTTTAGTTATTTTATTTAATTTTCGCTCCTGAATGCACGCTTCATGCTCTTTACTCTTGCGTTAAGTTTCGTTTCGATTAAGCGCTCGAATGTTTATGGCAGTCGCAAGAAGGTGCAAAGGAAACGGCCGGAAACTCGCTTTCTTTTAATAATAAGACAAGCGTTGAGCTTCCTTTGGAGCTTCCATTGGATCTGGAGGTGGATACTGGTGACGAATCGAACGTGGACGAGGCGTTGTTGCCTACAGCAGGATGAGCGCCAACACACAGGCATTTTGCGTGCGATGGAACAGCCATTTGGGCAGCATTGGTGCAGCCTTTCCACAGCTGTTGGCCGGTCAGGGATTTGTGGATGTGACAGTAGCCTGTGAGGGGCATGAGGTGCATTGCCATCGCCTGGTGTTGGCGTGCGATGAAACAGCCATTTGGCAGCATTGGTGCAGCCTTCCCACAGCTGTTGGCCGGTCAGAGATTTGTGGATGTGACAGTGGCCTGTGAGGGGCATCAGGGGCATTGCCATCGCATGGTGCTGGCTGCCTGCGCTACATACTTTGAAGCCGTATTGGCTGAGAATCCGTGCAAGCATCCGGTCATCATATTGCCCAGCGAGGTCAAACTGTAAGAGATCCAGGCGCTGGTCGATTTTATGTACAAGGGTGATTTCAATATGACCCAGGCTGGATTAGTTCTTTTGTTGCGCTGCGCCGAACAGCTGCGCTTATGCGGCCTCTATAGCTCCGAGGCGGCCATCAAATACAAGCAGCTGCAACAGATGCGTCCGGAGGCAGCGACGCACGACTCGGCAGCTCCTTTAAAGCAGGAACAGCGGCAGCAGCAGCAGCAACAACAACAGCAACAACAACAACAACAACAACAACAGCAACAACAGAAGCCGCATCAACTGAACTGCACTGAGACGGATGACACGGCCACCAAGTCGACGATATCGACAGCAACCACAAGCACAACGGTGGTATCCGCCAAGCAGCATCACCAACAATTGCTACTGCACCAGCTGCAGCAAAAGGAGCAGCGCCAGCGTCAGCAGACAAATGGCAATAATACGCTTTAATTGCAGCTGCTGCAAACACAACAAAAACAACAGCAGTAACAACAACAGCATCAACAGCAGCAGCCGCAAACAAATGCTGGCTCCTTAGCAGCTGCTTCGAACAACTCGAATGCACCGACCGAAAATGATTCGGCTGATAATGCTAATGCAACAATTAGAATGTTTATAGCGAACACCACGAGGACTTTGCCGCGGCCAGCGACAAAAAACCGAATGTGCAGCTGGTATTGCAGCAGCAACACCAGCAGCAACAGCAACTACAATTGCAGCATCATTTGGACTACACCATTGAGGACAATTATGTGGCCGCCCAGGATGAGCACATTGACAGCAGCGGCTTTGCCGGCACTACGGGCATCTCCGGCGGCATTGTTAGCAATGTTGCTGGCCTCTTGCTCAGCATGGACGGTGATTTGGATACCTCGGCAAACACATCCGAAGCTCGAAGGACCAATGTTTGTGGTTGTGGCGTCAAATAAATACTCCCCAGGTTATGATGGAAGGAAACCAGTGGTTTTTTTGTAATATCACTTTATTAGAAAAATAATTCGGCTGCATGTAATGGACTCTGAATTTGAAGTGAGTTTTCATATTTTTGGTTGGAGTTATGGAGGTGGAAAGGAGACTATAAGGAGAGTGCTGTGCTTAGTTGGGATTGAATAAGTGAGTGAGTCTCTCTCAGTGAGTGAGTCTGTCTCACTGAGTGACTCTCTCAAACTGAGTGAGGCTCAGTATATGCTATGTTCAGACTAACAATTAATTGGCATGAGCACTTGGCTTGACTTCAGATTTCAGAAAATTTTTGCGAGGGATATCCAGTAATCGCTAAGCCCTTGTCAGACTTGCTTAGCTTAAAATAGAATCCAAATTAATTTATTTTTATCCATTGGAGCTTCTGCTCCAATCCGACCCTTATAGATTTGTTCTCTATTCATAAATAATTTTGCAATCTTTTACTTAGGTACTACTTAGCTAAGACCACGTAAACTGCGATACCAGCGACACCAGCAGCGGAGCGGCTATGTTATATACTTTTATATATGGAAATGAGAGAATGTTTATGTGCACTTATGTATTGTAGTGCGCAGCCGGCTTGCGTAGAAAACCTACACATATATATATATATATGTGATCATATTACATATGAATGCACTTGAAATGTGGGCTTCGGCTGCTGCTGCCCGAATCTTTGCGTTAAGCAGTTCAATGGCGTCCTCTACATCCAGTCCAGTGTCAATTTCAGAATTGAGGTGTATACTATCACTCGTCTTTCTCTGGAAGACACACGCGATCTCAGTGCGTGAGTTGATTAGCCTCGGTATTGCGCTGATCCCTCTGTCCCTGCTCTCCAGGGTAACTTTCAGTGACAGGTAGTGGCGAAATGTATGCAAGGCGGAGTACCTTTGCGGCCGTACGGGTTTCTTCTGGAAGACCCTCTGGCCATTACCTTCGCTTGACGATGCGCTAGCTAGTTGTTAGCTTATTGAAGGCCATGCGTATTGCTGCTATTTGTTTCTCACAGCCTGCTATAGACTGCTCCAAAGTCCACGCTACCAGCATCAGTGGAGACTTTCACAGTCGAATATTGGTAAATACTATTTGCAATGGTCAATTGCGGAAAGTGGACCAAGTTACTCCAGACGAGGACAGCGCAGCCGCCACTTACTGAGCGATTTCGAGTCCAGTGTACAGGGTAAGCCCTTAAGCCAAAGATTCAGGGAAAGAAGGACCGTTGTAGTCTCTCAGTTTTAAAGCTATCTTAATAAAACTTTGCAGAAGTCCACCTCTCTGTTGCACATATGTCAAAACCAGCTAGATCAGACCACTATATCATATAGCTGTCATTAAAACGATCGGTCGAAAATTAAGTTGTTGAATGAAAAACATTTTGTTCTTCAAGATATCTCGACCAAACTCGAAATTTATTAGTTTTACTATGCTTGTCATATATATGCAAAGTCCTAATAAGCTCGAAAATCTGTATTATATAGCTGCCATAAGAACGATCGGTCGAAAACTAAGTTCATGTATCAAGAAATAAAAACCTCTTTGTTTATCAAGATATTTTGACCAAACTCGGACAAAGCACTATAAGCATTATGAAGAGTTTGAACCCTAGCATAGCTGTCACGGGTGTGGGAGAGGCTCATGAAAATAGGAGAAACGGAGCTTTCCAAAAAAACAGCGACTGCGCGGGGCTCGGGCGAGTCTCAGTCGAAGGCCAAGCCTCTCGCCCCCGAATACGTACGCCGGCAAGATTTCTAAGCCGTGTCCGAGCTGATTTAGCTGGCTGTGGAGTACGAGACGCTGATGTATCAGAGAGCGGGATACTCGGAAAGCAGGTCAAGGAGTCAGATGGTCGCGAGTTCGTGAGGCACAGAGTGGGCAAGGATGGTACAGCCCCCGAGGGGATACTTCAATCCATTCCGATCTACTCCAATCGGAACCGGAGCGAACGTTGTGGATAGAAAATGATGAGGCAAGAGGTCCGAATCGGGTATAATCCGCGACGAGCCTGTCGTAGGTGCGCTCAGTAGGGGTAATTTTTCTAGGAAGCGTCCCAACACGTGTCTTTTTCTGTTGGGAATTTGGGAGCTGGAACAGGAGGAGACAGTATTGTTGTCGCCAAACGCAGGCGGGAAACGGGCAACGACGCCTCCCAGGCCAGGATCGGGTCGGCGCCAGTAAGCACGGGACTCGATAAAAGGGCACCTACTGAAGATGGAACGGGCCGGATCTACGCTACGGTGGAAAAGCTAAGCGAAGACTACGTACGCAAGTGGACGGTTCGGGGTGAAGCAAATGGGTCAACTCTCGAGGTATGGATGGCGGTCAGTATGTTGATACTCATCATGTCCTCCATGCTAGACCATATTATCCTAGGGATGCATTTGTTGGGTGCAATGGGCACTGTAGTACGCTGCGGCAATGCAGCATTGGTCCTAGAGACAATGACGGAACCGGTCGCGGGGCCTGAGACAAGAGGACAGCCAAAAAAGGTCTCACGCGTCAATAACCGGGCGTGCCTGCTCGGCAACTAACGAAAACAGATACGAGTGATGAGCCAAATGAAGGCCACCCAGGTTATGAAAGGGGAGCATCTGCTCGGCAACAGAAGAGAGAGGACACCAAGATGGAGCCGAAGGAAGGTCTCCCAGTTTATGAAAGCGGAGCACATACTAGGGAACAGAAGAGAGAGGACACCGAGATGGAAGCGAAGCCGGGAACGGAAGAGCTGAAAAGGCAGATCTACGCTGGTCATGGAGGCGGCACGGCAGAAAGATGCCAGATAGCGGGGGGAAAAGAAGCAATGGCTTGGGTCCACACGGACGCGATCGTCAGAGGGAAGCGATCATAGAGCTCGATTTGGAATCGGAGTGGTGTCCGGAATAGGCGAGGCGCAGGGTGACCGCAGCTTCGAAGAAGCAGAGTGGCCTGCGGATCTGGATCCGGAACTTAGGGAGTTCTTGGAGTCGGAGTACAGGACTCGGCTGAAGACGCGCAATCCATCCCAGATGCTTATCATCTCTCAGGATCAATCACATCCGTGGGCGGTCAGCCGATAGACGGGAATGTACGGCCTTCACGGTCCCTGGAAGAGGTCTTTTCCAATGGCGGGTGATGCCATTCGGCTTACACTCGGCGCGACCTTCCAGTGAGCCTTAGACACGGTCATAGGACTCTGGCCTCATGGAGCCTCATGCGTTCGCCTACCTAGACGACATCGTGGTTATAGAGGAAACGAAAGAGCAGCATGTAGAGAATTTGAGGGATGTGTTCCGCTGGTTAGGGGCGGGCAATCTCAGGCTGAATAGGAAGAAGTGCAGCTTCTTCTGAGAGAGGTTGGTCTACCTGGGACATGTAATTTGCGGTCCAGATAATGTAATGAATTGCGGCAACGCCTCGGGATGGCGTCATGGTACAGGCGGGAGCTTCATTCCCTTCGTGACTCAGGTATAGCCGCTCACAGCGCTCCTAAAGAAGGAGCGGAAATGGGCATGGGAAGAGGAGGAGGCATTGCGTCAATGGAAGGATATCTTGATGACTGCCCCTACGTTGGCTTGTCCGGACATTTCCGCCAAATTCGTCTTGCAGACTGACGCGAGTGAGTATGGCCTCGGCGCAGTGCTGACGCAGACGATTGAGGGAGAGGAGCGGGTGATATCGTACGCGAGGCGCAAGTTACTGAAAGCTGTAGTGAACTATTCCGCCAACGAGAAAGAGTGCCTGGCAATAGTATGCTCGATCCGAAAATTGCGCTGCTATCCAGAAGGGTACCAGTTTGACGTGATAACGGATCATCTGGCAATCAAGTGGCTCAACTAGATCGAGAGCTCTTTAGGAAGTATTGCGCAATTGTCATTAGAACTGCAACAGTTCCAATTTGACGCTCACTACCTACGAGGGAAGCTCAACGTCGTGGCCGACGCACTATCAAAACATCCTCTAGAGACTTGTAAGCAAGCAGTGA